GGGGGGGGGGGGGGGGGGGGGGGGGGGGGGGGGGGGGGGGGGGGGGGGGGGGGGGGGGGGGGGGGGGGGGGGGGGGGGTCGTATTGATGGTTTGCACGCCTGGTCTGGCCGCTAAGGTATGCAAAACATAAATAGGCGGCCCCCCACCTGTTTCGGTAAAGTGGGGAGGGTCGATTGGCCATCGGTGATCGGCCCTCTGGGAACAATGCTCCGTCCTCTCGAGGACACATGGTCTGACTGCTGAGGAAAAAAAAACTCGAGAGTCACGCCCAATCCGCCCCTCCGGGCAAGCGACGCCAGGGCCAAAAACTCACCAAGCTAGCCATTCTGCTGTCCACCTCCGCAAGCCCCTCGGGAGTCGTAAACGCCTCCTCCTGGCCCTTGACCATTCGGTCGATACAGATGCGCTCTGCCTCCGCCGAGACGAGGTTCACCTTCACCTCGTGGAACACGTTGGCGAGGGCCGATCCGTCGATCTCCAGCGGGGTGCTGATGAACGCCTTGCACCCAACGATGTTGTTCTGCAAAAACGGTACGGCATAGAAAAAACACGGTACGGAACAACAACAAAAAAAGCCCACAGATGATGAGACGATGACTTGCTGCAAAAAAAAGGAGCAAAAAAAAAGGAAACGTTGAAAAACGAAGAAAAATGCAGGTTGGCAACGCAACGGAACGTTCCGCTTTCAGAGTATTGTAGTGCCTTAGGTCCAACAGGCTTGTAATTATTCCTCTGTGCGACGTCAGCACCCGTGCCCGTTAAGATTTGATATCCAGAGCAAATGAAATAGCAGCTGCAAGTTTGAACCCACACAGCCCAAACGATCAGACCACAAGACCGCAAACAAAACAACGCATACTTTACGCCGATAGGAGGGTAGCGACCAGACTCTTCGTTAATTGAGAAGCCGCTTTTGTGCCGCCAGTCCATTGTAGTCTTGTCTTGCTTCCTCACTGCCACTAGTCAGCACCAAAGTCTTCATTAATTTTCGGCATCACCGGCACAGCGCAGCTCTCTCGACCTCAGCCAGACAACGTGAGTTCTCCCTCTGTTTTTTGCCGCCTGTTTCACGGACATGCCAGTATCAATACTGGCTGCCAAGCGCTTTGGCGTTGGCATGGCCGATGCGGCGCAACTGCTGTTGGCGATTCGTCGACATCTGCATTCTTCAGCCCACTCACCTTGGAAGTAGAGCAAATACTCTTTCTTCCCGCCACAGGGGTGCTCTCGGGAGTGGGTTCATGAGAGCACAGCAGTAGTGTCATGAAGGGGTGACGCAAGATGAAAATCAAAGCTCCACATGCTGCCAGACTCTTGTCAGTCATGACTTTGTGCAAGCTCAAACAGTCCACAGCTGACATGTTTCGAGTCCACGAGCCCATCGAACCACAACAAAACCAAACAGACAACCCCAAACAAAACTGCGTAGTACAGCGGTATCACGCGATATTTTTTCTTGTTTTGCACCTTCAATGCGGTGTCGACGACGAGGTGCACCGGTCGCTCGCACTCCCCGGTGTAGAAGTCGTGGATGAGAGAGGAGTCGTCCACGATAAGAACGCCATCGAAGGATGTCGCGTACCTTCCATCATGGTCAACACCACCGCCGCACACGCAACCCGAAAACGACGGGGCGTGACGAGGTCAATAAATACTTCCTTCTCAGGTGGTATCTCGTTCGGAATTTCCAACAATGCTGAGGAGGGTCAGTCGTGGCCGAGAAAAGCCGACGCCAGCAAGGCACGGCAGAGCCAAGACAAAATGCACGCGAGGTTATTGAGAGTAAGTTCGACCAGAGAAGGACATTCTCGCGAACCCCTCCCACCCAAAACCTCTCGTCGCCCCCTTTTGGAGCATTGTTCTAGCAGCGATTATTTGACCGTGGCAAGCCACATTCGTTAGACTTGCCCGGCTTCGAAACGTGCAGCACAAAAAAAAACTAATAATCAAACGGCAGGTTTGGATTCTGTAAAGCAAAAAAATGCGCAGGAGGGGCGGGTGTAGGGAAAATACTCCTTCTGTGACACCATGGATTGGAGCTTCTACGTGTGTGAGCTGATTAAAAAAAAAACACACACACACGCCAAAACGAACTAAGTGCAAGGTAGCAGCCTTTCGTAGACGTGCGCAGTTTTCTTCTGTTGCTACCGTTTCTGTCTTTGATCCGCGGAGAATGGATTAATCTCCCCCATGCCCCCTCGCGGAGTCCCAGCCAAGGGCATTTAGAAGTGCTGTGTGTTTTCAATCGCACTAACGTTTTTTCACTGGTCAGCCGGTTAGCGCGGTCGATGCTAACAATAAAAACACACACAGAGCCGCAGAGAGATGAGATATCTGCCCCGATAAAACATCCAAAGATGGCAGGCCACAGCGGCAGCGAGACAGTCAACAGAGTCAACACCGACCCAATCGGGAAACATGCACATGGGCAGCAGCATGCAGTGGCTTCAAACAGGCTGGTGCCCCCTCAAGACAGGCGCACTACCTATTAATGAAATGAGGACCGCTTTTCGAGGATTGAATCACAGTGGTGGCTACGGTTTAAAAGAGAGTATATTACGAAAGCACCGATTTTAAGAGAGTCACACTGGCTTGTCACGACCATCAGAAACACATACATTTCACAGTATCGTTTATGAGACAACCGGATTGAAGAGAGAAATACTGGCTTGTCACGACCCTCTCTAAAACCGTATCCACCACTGTACCGTGGCGGGCCCTCTAAAGTGCCGGGGTGTGTCCCGAGATTCTATCGGCACTATAAAGGGCCCCCGACCGTTTTTTATCCTATATGGAATAAAGAGGGGGGGGTTGTATACCTAACGCTAACCGCATCAACACCCCGTCCTGCCCACCAAACCAACATGACTAACCACACAATTTAACACGCCCCCTGGACCGATTTTCAAAGCTCGATTACTCAACGAACCAGAGGATGATGAACGAAACGATAAGTTTTCGGAAAGCTGTCGACCAGGCGGCTTCAGCGTCGCCGTTTTCATCACCCCTACTCTCTCTGCTGTAGATATGTCAAGCTTCGAAAATCGGTCCAGGGAGTGCGGTGTCTTGTGCCGTACACGATAATATCATCGCAAGGCTACTACTGCCTTATGATGATCCCAGCATTCCGGCTCGTTCCTTACCAGCCGACAACTGATTCTCTCCCGTTGACCCGCTGCTGCAACGCGAGCATGGACTTGTTGAAGTCCTTACCCACGGCGACCTTTTAGGGGCACCCAGCAGGACGCCGACCAGCAACACGAACAATTGATTAGCGCGAGAAACATCGAGAGAGAGAAAGGAAACGAAAGAGCAAGAGGAGAAGCACGCGTGCAGTACGACGCAAGACCAGACGGAGGGCTGACATAACCAGACGGGGGATGCGAGGCGCACAGCAACATGCGCCGCCCAGAAGAAAGAGAAAAGTGTCACCCAAACCAATAAAACTGTCACCCAAAGAAAAACCAAAGTATGCTACATAGGAAAGGTGAAGAACTAAAAAGTCACCTAGGACAAAACACTACTGATAGTACTCTCGTCCCGTCCATCATCACATGTACTTAGGCAACACGCAAAGAATGATCATGTGCAGAAAAATAACAAATGAAACGACACCAGCACACGGGTGTGTTGATCTTGATGGAGTATGTCACACCTCGTCAGGGAACAAACAGACCGTGGTCTTGAGAGCACACGCCACACCCCGTCAGGGAATAAACCGGCAGTGGTCTTAGGAAGAAAGGTCACACGCTCGAGCCGGGAATGAACAGCCCGTGATCTAAACAATAGGTAGTCTTACGCGAAAGTACCTCCTCGTTCTCTCCGGGTCTGGGGCACGGCGAACGAGTTATCATGTCAACACACATGAAGAAAATAAACAGCCGGTGGTGTTGATGAAAAGGACATGTCACAGCCGGTCAGAGAATAAAGCAGGCAGTGGGCTTCAGAATGCGTGTCATCACACCTCGTCGTTCTTCTCCAGGTGGGGCACGGCGAACGAGTTAGTTATCTCGACAACGTTTGCGGTCACGGTGCCCAACAGGGTCCCGATAACGCGCTTCTGGTTCTCCGGTCGTCGGAGGAAGTGGTCCAACACCGAGAATAGGACCACCGGGTGAACCTGGCCACCGTTTTCAAAAGACAGGGGGCCACGTGCGTTAGGAAGAGGGATGGCTAGCGTACCTGCGATCTTGGAACGCGACCTGCTTCAAAATTGTGGTGCAAGAGCTACACCAGATGGAGTATAATTAGCACCACAATGCCGCTGGTGGGTTTCTGGTTTGTAGCGCATACTCTTGATGCTCGGTCAACCAACATCGACAACAGCGGTCAGAAGTACGTCGCACTTTCGGTGCTGCGGTGTTGGATGCTCATGAAACACCGCCGAATTCTACACCATACTCATGAATCCCGTGCGTTTCATTCGCACGACGTTGTTGCTGCCCGGATCACGCGTGGAGCATGGGCCCTTCTCACTCTCACTCTCTCGCTTGAGCTACATTCGAACGGAATCGCGGTCGGGGCAACGCAGACTGGATTGCCCCGTCGACCGACTTACACCCGCCGCGCAAACTCGTGAGAAAGGCATGAAGTCGTCAGTGGCATCAGCTTGGTGGATTCACGTCGTGCATGATTCAACACGAAATGACCACCAGCGATGCATGAATGCACGCACGACTCTACGACCACGACCACACTGACGACCACGATTTGAACCGTTCGTTCCGCTCGCCAAGGGCCTCGGGCTCCCCGCTAAACGGAGGGACCGGCCAAACACGAGAAACAAACCAAACGTTGAACAGCCAAATGCCGTGCGACAAAGGCACCGTCTGCGCCACTTGGCGACGGCACATCCCGCGTGACCTCCACCGCACAAGCACTCCAAGAAAGAGCCCCAATGTCTTTTTTAGAAATATACATGCTATCACAGATATAAGGGTAGATACCCGTTCTGGATATTGTAAGACCACAGAGAATCGGAGGGAATGTGTTGAAGTCTTTGCAGTGAGCGGGAAGAAACCGGCCACTTCATTGGCCAGCCGGTTAGCGCGGTCGATGCCACAGTAGTACACTCGAAGCGAACACACACAGCACACACCTTGACGACGATGTCGTTGCTGCTGGCGAAGGCCGAGAGGTTGGTCACCGGTGCGGCGGATGCCGCCGCCTTCCCTTCCATGCTAGACAGCTGCGCCGCTGGATCGTTAAGGACCAGCATGGACCCCGACCCCCCCCCGAAAGACGACATTTTGCCCTTGCGCTGCTGTTGCGGGCTTGCCTACCCGCGTGGTGAGAGCCGGAGCCAAAATAATGTGTAGGGCAGAGAGGGCGCCCAGACCACGGTAGTGCTTTTGTTGCAGGGTGCATGTAGACGATTCGAGAGAACGCGAGACGTGAAGACAATGGGCGGGAGGTCTACCGCGTGGGATGGTACATCTGCACGATGGTGGAATATATTTGATTCGTTCCTACAGCAGTATTGTCAGGGAGCCGGAACTCCGGCGCCTCCCAACGCCCCCCCCCCCCCCCCCCCCCCCCCCCCCCCCCCCCCCCCCCCCCCCCCCCCCCCCCCCCCCC